GTTTCACAAAGAATTTTCTTGATAGGTGAATTGAAATCAAAGGTTTTTTAGATAAAGTTGTGAGCAATGTTGCGTAGTTTTCTCCCGTTCAACTCCGGTCAGAAACGAACTGATTTGTGAACGGATATTTAAAGGTTGGCACACACCACCCACTAAGGGACATGTGTCGGGAACGTGAAGCAGAGACATGCCCCTTCGCGTGTACAGGAAGGACGCGGCATGTTACAGTGCGCAAGCTGGTGCACAGGAAGCTAAGCACAGTGGCATAAAAATGTTGTGACGATACATTTTTCCGCTGGGAATGTACATTTGCGGCCGAACGAGCACGGGAACTGAACTGAGCGAAGAACGCTCTAAAAAACGAGGGAAATCTAACTCTGGAGAGCACTGTTCAGTAAAAGAGCACTGTTTAGAACAGGCGTAAAGGTGGCAGTATAAGCGAACATCGAACAAAGAAATTAAGAAGAGCAGCTTATACAAAGGTGCAATGTTCAATCTCAAATGAATACAAAGGAAATTAAAGAAGCGCAGCTATAAGAGAATTCGAAAAGTACAAAGTTTAATTTAAATGAAACCTAAGTGTGGGTAAGAAACTTGGACTACGTTGTAAGGCAAAATACTACTGTTGGCTCTTCTAGAATTTTCCGATTAACAAAGAAATAACTGAGCTACAGTGAACTTTCTCGTAACAATGTGTTGTAGCGAGAACAGTTTACAGGAGTAGTGTAGACGGTGCGACATTGAACTTTGAGGTCATTTTGTTCCTGCTTCATGACCCGCGAATTCAAACCACCTGAATTTCATTCATTTTGTGCCGGTGACAGTTGTTCCCAGAACAGAACTTTTTTCGCAAAAATGGGCGTGTTACACGAGGAAAACTGTCACTGCCACGTGTCCTTACAACATGTTTCCTAACAGTGGAACCTCGCTTTATCACCAACGGCCGCTTTTTTGGTCAGAAAAATCGCTCGTTCAGCCATCGCTTTCCGTTATTTTCTTCATATTTTAAGGATCTCTTTAATTTTATGGCTCAACGATGGTCGTATTATGAGGCCCTGTTAGGGGGGGGGGGGGGGGGGGGGGGAATGGGCACTGCTGGAATTGACTGACGCATAAATAAACAAATAAATTGATTACAATATTTTAAGAGAGGAA